CTATAGATCCAAGTTAACTGAATCTTGTCCCACACTTTGAACATTTGTTTTATCTCCTGAATGCACCACCAAGATATGCCTCTTCATATTGCCTTGCTGACTGAATCCTTTCCCACATTCTGGACACTTGTGAGGCTTATCCTTTGTATGCACACGCTTGTGAATCTTCATTGACCCAAGTTCACTAAATCTTTTACCACAATCAGGACACTCGTGTGGTTTCTCATCTGTATGTACCACCATGTGCCTCTTCATATGCCCAAGTTGACTAAATCTTTTCCCACACTCTGGGCACTCATGTGGCTTATCATCCATATGCACCACAATGTGCCTTTTCAAATTGCCAAGGTTGTTGAATCCTTTACCACACTCAGGACACTCGTGTGGTTTATCACCCGAATGCACCAACATATGCCTCTTCATAGATCCAAGATGATTGAATCTTTTACCACACTCTGGACACTCATGAAGTTTATACCCAGTATGCACCATCTTGTGAGTCTCCATAGATTCAAGTTGATTGAATCTTTTCCCACAATCCGAACACTTGTGTGGTTTATCACCTGAATGTACCACAAGCATATGCCTCTTCATATTTCCAAGTTGACTGAATCCTTTCCCACACTCTAGACACACATGAGGCTTATTTCCCGTATGAACCATCTTGTGAGTCTTTATAGATCCAGGTTGACTGAATTGTTTCCCACAATCGGAACACCCATGTGGTTTATCATCCTTATGCATTGATAAGTGCCTTTTCATAGATCCAAGATGACCGAATCTTTTCCCACACTCTGGACATTTGTGAGGTTTAATCCCCCTATGCACAATCTTATGAGACTCCATAGAGGCAAGTTGACTGAATCTTTTCCCACAATCTGAACATTCGTGTGGTTTAACATCTACATGCACCACAAGCATGTGCCTCTTCAAATTTCCAAGTTGACTGAATCGTTTCTCACACTCTGGACACTTGTGATGCAAATCCTCCATATGCACCATCTTGTGTGTCTTCAAAGAGGCAAGTTCACTGAATCTTTTCCCACAATCTGGACACTCGTGTGGTTTATCAGCTGTATGCATCGACATATGCCTCTTCATAGAGCCAAGATGACTGAGTCTTTTTCCACAATCTGGACATTCATGTGGTTTATCATCTGAATGCACAACCATGTGCCTCCTCATATTTCCAACTTGGCTGAATCTTTTCCCACACTCTGGACACTGGTGAGGTTTCACCACCGTTTGTATAGTTTGTTGAGTTTGTATAATGGTTATCTCTTCTTGATCACTGCAGGAGTTGGTTTTGTGACTTGGGGAGTGTACTGAAGATATAACATTCTCGCTGGGTAGAATAATTAAGTCTTTTTCGTCTTCTTTTTTCTTATGACACGTTTTAGCGAGAAGGTTTTCTCCTCCCGCTGACTGCATGAGTGGTAATGTTAGGAGACACGTCAGGGTCGCGTTGATGTTGTTGATTTGGCAAGCTGTTGATTTCGGAGCGATGACGACCGTAGGATCGGCCTGTTTTGTGGCCTGTTTTGGCAAGGCTTAAATGTGATTTATTTGACGTTATTTAGTGGCCACAATGCCCACCAGTGCTGGGTATGTGCCCCGGCCCTTTGTGCTGGAAGCGTGATAACCGTTACTATCGTGACATCACTTCACTTCATTTGTTGGGCCTTATAAGCAGTAACCTATGTTATTAGGCCAAAGTGCACTTGTTTTATTTAGACAGTGATCATTTGCAAACATAACAAAGATTGCGTCGATCGCTTGCGTTCCTGTATAAAGTTTTACATTTTCTTTAAAGGTAATGTTTGGGCAGACTATAGTACATTTGTGGGATTTACCAATATATATTTTTTTTTTTGAGAGAGAGATATACAAGAGTTGTTACATTCTTGTACAGCCACTAGTACGCGTAACGTTTCGGGCAGGTCCCTGGAATACGATCCCCGCCGCGAAGAATCGTTTTTTCATCCAAGTACACATTTTACTGTTGCGTTAAACAGAGGCTACAGTTAAGGTATTGCGCCCAGTAAATCCTCCGCGGCCAGGATACGAACCCATGACATAGCGCTCGCGGAACGCCAGGCGAGTGTCTTACCACTGCACCACAGAGAGTAATATTTATTGGCTTAGACTGAGGTAGGAAACCAGAGGATTGTCAAAGGTCACCCAGTGTTTAACGGGGATTTTTTGCAGCTCAATTTTAAACTGAAGTAATGTCTTAACGTTTATTGCTTTGGCTAGTAGGCGATTCAATAGGTTTATTACACTATGAGAGAAAACAATCTTATTTCCCGTAATACATTGGCATTGACCAAACCACACACTAGAAGGTGAAGGGACGACGACGTTTCGGTCCGTCCTGGACCATTCTCAAGTCGATTGTGATGAGGAAGTAGATGCAGGCAATAAGTAGGCTAGAGAGAAGTAATACATAATACATTGGCGTATTATGCTTGAAACTGTTGAAGCGTTGCTCCAATTGTATGCGTTACATTTAACCTTTTACAGGATTAAGTAGTCTATATTAATGTCAGTTTCAGAACTCGGTGCTGATTCCTCCGGTTCTGCCCGTTTCGTCGCTGCCGTAACGGCCCGTCGGGTACGGGCCCCTTTTGCCCTTTACATAAGAACATAAGAACAAAGGCAACTGCAGAAGGCCTATTGGCCCATACGAGGCAGCTCCTATTTATAACCACCCAATCCCACTCATATACATGTCCAACCCATGCTTGAAACAATCGAGGGACCCCACCTCCACAATGTTACGGGGCAATTGGTTCCACAAATCAACAACCCTGTTACTGAACCAGTATTTACCCAAGTCTTTCCTAAATCTAAACTTATCCAATTTATACCCATTGTTTCGTATTCTGTCTTGTGTTGATACTTTTAATACCCTATTAATATCCCCTTTGTTATGTCCATTCACCCACTTGTAAACCTCTATCATGTCACTCCTAACTCTTCGCCTTTCCAGTGAATGCAACTTAAGCTTTGTTAATCTTTCTTCATATGAAAGATTTCTAATTTGGGGAATTAACTTAGTCATCCTACGTTGGACACGTTCAAGTGAATTTATATCCATTCTATAATACGGCGACCAAAACTGAACTGCATAATCTAAATAAGGCCTAACCAGAGCAAGATATAGCTTAACACTTTCGCGCTTTAGATTAGAGATAACTCGTCGCCGTTTTCTCTTACGATTCCGCATAACAGCCTACTTTTCTCGTCCATCGAAAAAATATTACTATAAATTCCATTTTTTAACCGAAATGGATGGGGATACTTTTGTTTTGTAGGGAATTTATTTGCGAATGTTTTGGTACCAGAATGAATATTATATCACATAAACTTCTATGAGTAAAAAAAAAATACACAAAGTATGTTTGGGGGTGTGGCGAGCGTGTGGCAGTGGGTTCCCTTTAGCCGTTGATATATCCAACACGTGGGAAATATTTGTATGTGTTATGTATATGTCTGTGTAGGGAATTTTACTGCGATCACTGTCATACAAATTATAAAATGTTTCAACAAGTATAAACATGACAAACATCAAACGAACGAAAACAATGCGTTCGTTTCTGCCGCGAACGCATACTGAGCGACGTGGTTCTATATTTGGCGCTTCTCTTACACATGCTTTGTACAAATGTTATACAGTTCATCTTATACAAAATTTTATTGCGAACACATTGGTATAAAAAAGAAATACGTACATAGAAAAGTAGGGTCAGGAAACGTATAAACTTTCCAAGCATGATTTCCCCCCTGTGTTTTCGCCAGTGCGCTCGCGGCTAACTACTCTCCACTTCACACACTCTTGCGGGTGGGCAATTACCTATATTAAACATTCATATGCATATGTCCGTGTAGAGAATTTTATTGCGATTCCAATGATACCAAAATTAGCGATGTAGGACAACTGTAGGCTTCGCAACCATTAAGAGAGTGGAAACATTTTGTTGCTGTTTGGCGCTCTCGGCGAGTGATCTGCATAGTTTTTTATTTGGTGTTGATATTCCTTATGCTTGGGCGGCATTTTATAGGTATGCTCTTATAGACAATTTCATTGCGAACACAGTGATACCAAATTTAAATACGTGCGCCTTCAATTATTGTCAGGACAGTCAAAAGAGTGTACACTTTTCGGTCTTACCGCGTAGGCACGCGAAGTGCCGAAAGCATCTGGGGTATTGTTTTTTTTTTGAGCGCCGAGAGTGCGAAGCAAGCAAGATATAGCTTAAGAACCACCTTACCTTGAGGTTACCTTGAGGTGCTTCCGGGGCTTAGCGTCCCCGCGGCCCGGTCGTCGACCAGGCCTCCTGGTTGATCAGGTATCCTTTGGAGGTGCTTATCCTCCAAAGGATAAGCTACCTCCGGTTCATATCGGTTAAAAGTATCAACACAAGACAGAACACGAAACAATGGGTATAAATTGGATATAAAGATAAAAAAACCACACCAGGTGTCTTGTTACTAACGCTTCGATTAATAAATCCCAGTGTCCTATTCGCCTTATTACGAACATTCATGCATTGATCCTTTTGTTTTAAATTCTTACTAATCATAACTCCCAGATTCCTTTTGCAATCCGACTTCGCAATCTCAATACCATCTAGCTCGTATCTTGTAACTCTATCATCATTACTTAGCCTCAGAACTTTACATTTATCAGCATTAAACTACATTTGCCAATCATTTGACCATTTCAAAACCCTATCTAGATCAACTTGAAGTGATAGTGAGTCCTCCTCCGAATTAATTTCCCTACCGATTTTCGTATCATCGGCAAATTTGCAAATGTTGCTACTCAAACCTGAATCTAAATCATTTATATATATTATAAACAACAGATGTCCCAGGACAGAGCCCTGAGGTACTCCACTAACAACATTATCCCACTCTGACTTAACCCCATTTATACTAATTCTCTGTTTCCTTTGGAATAGCCAAGCCCTAATCCAAGTTAATATAGCACCCCCAATACCATGAGCTTCTATTTTTTTAATTAGTCTTTCATGTGGCACTGTATCAAAAGCTTTGCTAAAGTCAAGGTACACAACATAACAATCCTTACCACTATCAACTGCCTCAACTATGCTGGAATAAAAAGTTAGCAAATTTGTTAAACATGAACGGCCATTTGTAAAACCATGTTGCGACTCGCGACTCATTTATTAATTTATATTTTTCAAGATGGAGACGAACTGTATTTGCAATTATTGATTCAAGTAACTTTCCCACAATAGACGTTAGGCTAATTGGCCGATAGTTTGACGCAAGTGATCTATCTCCTTTCTTAAAAATTGGTACCACATTAGCTACCTTCCATGACTCTGGCACTCTGCCTGACTCTATTGATTTATTAAATATGGTAGACAGTGGCTCGGAAAGCTCCTCTTTGCATTCTTTAAGCACCCTAGCAAACACTTCATCCGGCCCTGGGGATTTGTTTGGTTTCAGTTTTTCTAATTGTTTAATTACATCCTCCCTGGTAACTGCTAAACTAGTCAACCTGTCCTCATCCCCACCCACATAGACTTGTTCGGCTGAAGGCATATTGTTAAGTTCTTCTTTAGTAAATACAGATATAAAATATTTGTTAAAAATACTACTCATCTCCTTGTCATTATCCGTTATTTGACCTGTCTCAGATTTTAATGGACCTATCCTTTCCCTAGTCTTAGTTCGATATAACTGAAAAAACCCTTTAGGATTTGACTTTGCTTGCTCTGCTATGCGAACTTCATAGTTTCTTTTTGCTTTCCTAATCTCTTTTTTAACATTTCTAACCAGTTGTATGAATTCCTGTTCTAACCTGACTTCCCCATTCTTAATCCTTTTGTACCAAGCTCTCTTTTTACCTATAAGGTTCTTTAAATTATTTGTTATCCACTTTGGGTCATTAGTATTCGATCTATTCAATTTGTATGGTATACTACGTTCCTGTGCTTTGTTTAGAATATTCTTAAATAAGTTATATATTAAATCCACATCGAAATCCCCTTTTGCGTCACCTGTCGCTGGGTTCATGTCTCGCTCTAAGACCGGCCCACACCCCATACCCAAGACTTTCCAATCTATTTGACCCAAAAAATTTCTTAGGCTATTAAAATCAGCTTTTCGAAAATCTGGCACTTTAACAGAATTTTCTCCTACAGGTCTATTCCATTCTATGCTAAATCTGATTACTTTGTGATCACTGTTCCCTAGCTCACTCCCTATTTCGATGTCATTAATTTGTGTTTCCCTGTTAGTTAACACTAAATCTAAAATATTATTTTCCCGCGTTGGTTCCTTAATGTGTTGCGTAAGAAAGCAATCGTCAATTAATTCTAGAAAATCTTCTGCTTCACTATTCCCTGTTTTGTTCACCCAGTTTATTCCACTAAAATTAAAGTCACCCATGACAT